AAATTAATAAAAATTGTTTCATTAATTTTCTTTTTATGACAAAAAAATGCATAAAATTATTTCTGATACTTTCGTCAAAATTAAAAAAAAAAAAACTATTTCGGGTAGATTTCGGTAAAAAATATTTGTAAACGCCTTTTGTGAAATAAATAAAAAAGAGTTATTTCTGATGAATATATATATGAAACTATATAAGTTTATTAAAAAAATGCATATCTTAAAAAAAAACACTCAAAATTATTTCAGATAGACTCCTGTGAAAATATATGTATAAAAATATACCTTTGTTAAGATCGCGATAGGGGTATTCATAAAACGTGATAAACTGCCGATAAAGGTGGCAACGTGACTACATGATTCCATACATAATTTTTTCACATTTATAAGTGACGTTAGTTAAAACTCTGATAGGTTTTTGTTACAAAAAAAAATATTCTGATCGATTTTTTAAAAGTTTTTATAACGCGTGTATAATTTTCCAGCAAACTATATTTTTTATTTTATTTTTTATTATTCTTTAAGTTCATTTACCTCAGTCTGCTTGTTATCTGCATATGTATGCTTACTTTTTTACCCTACTTCCTAATAAGCACACCCAAAGTTACATAGTCGTTAATACATAAATACGAATGTTTGCCCTTACAAAAAATGTTTACCGTTTCATAAGGGTTTCCCGCTTGAACGAAAAAATCAACACATCTACCGCGACGATGTGACGCCTCTCCCTCACCCTCCGAAGTTTTCAACAACTCAACGCCCCTGCACGAGTATGTATATACATATTTTATAACAGTCACTTAGTAAACATAATTATTTAGCTTGATGTTGCTCTTGTTGCTGTAATTGTTATTGTTTAAGCTGTTTTGTTTTTTTTTTTTTAATTTACTTGTTTTATTATCTAGGTTCTAGACTACGCCAGCAACGCCGCTATGCGCTTCGCCAGCGCTAACGTCTTTGAAGTTGGTGATTACATACATAGGCATGTGTACATATGTACATATGTATGTATGTATGTATTTACATGTATGTAGATATATTGTTGTAGTGCTTGTGTGTATACATTTTTTAGTGCTCGCAAATAAATTAGCTTCCAATTTCGTTTTTGCCCGCAAATTAAAATTGCCAACACCAACAAATAAAATTATTTACTTGTTTCAATATGCCGCCTAAACACATTTTTTTCGTAGTACCGATTGTTGTTTCCATTATTGATATTGTTGTTCTACTTAATCTTATTACATATGTATGTATATTAGGGCGGGTCGATTTGTAG